TCAGCGTGCCTCATGGCACGTCAGCGAAAGAGAGAACGCCGGGAGGTCTTCTCAGTCGAGGTAGCCACTCCTCAGTATCTCAACTGGTCTCGGGAGGTGGTCACCTTCGATCGGGAAGACCACCCCAACTATGTCCCAAACCCTGGGCAATACCCGCTCGTCGTCGACCCGATCATCGGCAACACTCGGCTCACCAAAGTGCTAATGGACGGAGGCAGCGGCCTCAACATCCTCTACGCCAACACCATGGAGCTCCTAGAGCTCGACCAGTCATGGCTCCGAGGTGGTGCCGCGCCCTTCCATGGCGTCATGCCAGGGAAGCGCACAAGACCCCTCGGACGCATTGACTTGCCGGTCTGCTTCGGCACTCCCTCCAACTACCATAAGGAGATCCTCACCTTCGAAGTGGTTGGGTTCAAGGGGACCGACCATGCCATCCTGGGGCGCCCATGCTATGCCAAGTTCATGGCAGTCCCGAACTACACCTACCTCAAGCTTAAAATGCCGGGCCCCAACGGCGTCATCACCGTCGAGTCCATGTACGAGCATGCATACGACTGCAACGTCGAATGCATCGAGTACGCCGAGGCTATCATGGAGTCCGAGGCCCTCATCGTCAACCTCAACCAACTCGGTAGTGAAGTTCCCGACTCCAAGCGCCGCGCTGGGACTTTCGAGCCCGCAGAGACCATCAAGCTCATCCCGGTCGACCCCAACTACTCCAACGGCCGAACGTTGAGGGTTAGCGCCACCCTCAACACCAAATAGGAAGCCATGCTCGTCGACTTTCTCCGCGCGAATGTCGATATGTTCGCATGGAGTCCCTCGGACATGCCGGGCATACCGAGGGAGGTCGCCGAGCATGCCTTGGACGTCCGGGCCGGCTCCAGACCGGTGAAGCAGCGCCTGCGCTGATTTAATGAGGAGAAGCGCAGGGCCATCGGCGAGGAGGTGCAGAAGTTGTTGGCGGTCAGATTCATCAAGGAAGTGTCCCATCCAGAGTGGTTAGCTAATCCTGTATTAGTTAAGAAGAAGAATGGAAAATGGAGGATGTGTGTAGACTACACTGGTTTAAATAAAGCATGTCCAAAGGTTCCGTTTTCATTACCTCGAATTGATCAAATCGTTGACTCCACTGTAGGATGCGAGACCCTATCTTTCCTTGATGCGTATTCCGGTTACCATCAAATCAAGATGAAAGAGTCCAACCATCTCGCGACTTCTTTCATCACCCCATTCGGCATGTACTGCTATGTGACCATGCCATTCGGTCTCAGAAACGCAGGGGCCACATACCAGCGGTGCATGACCCAGGTCTTCGGCGAGCACATCGGGCAAACTGTCGAGCCTTACGTGGATGACATTGTGGTCAAGTCCAGAAAGGCCAGTGATCTCGTCGGTGACCTGGAGATCGCTTTCAAATGCCTCAGAGAAAAGGGCATCAAGCTTAATCCCGAGAAATGTGTCTTCGGGGTCCCCCGAGGCATGCTCTTGGGGTTCATAGTTTCAGAGCGCGGCATCGAGGCCAACCCGGAGAAGGTCTCGGCCGTGACCAACATGGGGCCAATCCGAGACCTCAAGGGAGTACAGAGAGTTATGGGATGCCATGCGGCCCTGAGTCGCTTCATCTCACGCCTTGGCGAAAAAGGTTTACCCCTGTACCGTCTCTTGAGAAAATCCGAACGCTTTTCTTGGACCCCCGAGGCCGAAGAAGCCCTCACCAAGCTCAAAGCCCTGCTCACCAACCCTCCCGTCCTGGTACCGCCAACCAAGGGCGAGGCCCTCTTACTCTACGTCGCCGCAACGACCCAAGTAGTCAGCGCGGCCGTAGTAGTCGAGAGGCAGGAAGAGGAGCACGCTCTACCCGTCCAACGACCCATTTACTTCATCAGCGAAGTACTTTCCAAAACTAAGACACGCTACCCCCACATCCAAAAGCTAATCTACGCCATAGTCTTGGCTCGACGCAAGCTGCGTCACTACTTTGAATCCCACCCAGTAACTGTGGTGTCGTCTTTCCCTCTGGGGGAGATAATCTAGAACTAGGAGGCCTTGGGTAGAATAGCCAAGTGGGCCGTTGAACTCATGGGGGAGGCCCTATCTTTTGCGCCTCGAAAAGCATTTAAATCTATGGTCTTAGTCGATTTTGTGGCTGAGTGGACCGACACCCAGCTGCCACCTGCTCAAATCCAAGCGGAATGCTGGACCATGTACTTCGACGGGTCTCTGATGAAGACCAGGGCAGGCGCGGGTCTGGTCTTCATCTCTCCCCTCGGAGTGCATATGCGCTACATGATTCGGCTCCACTTCGCTGCCTCCAACAACGCAGCCGAGTACGAAGCTCTCGTCAATGGTTTGCAGATCGCCATCGAGCTTGGAGTGCGGCGTCTCGATGTGCGGGGCGATTCATAGCTCATCATCAACCAAGTCATGAAGGACTCGAATTGTCTCGACCCCAAAATGGAGGTGTACTGCAAACTGGTACGTTGCCTTGAAGATAAGTTCGACGATCTCGAACTCAACCACATTGCGCGAAAGTTCAACGAGGCCGCGGACGAACTGGCGAAGATGGCATCGGCACGGGCCCCGGTCCCCCCGAACATATTCGCCAGAGACCTGCACAAGCCCTCGGTGGACTACGCCTCGGCGGCACAAGAGGGCCCACCGGTCGAGCCCACCACAGGGCCCGAGGCCCCCTCTGTTACCGAGACCCCGGCGGCCGAGCCCAAGGCCATGGAAATCGATGCAGGGCCTCCCGAGGCCGACCGGGGGGTGGACTGGCGGGACCCCCTCCTTGTTCGCCTTACTCGAGGAGTGCTTCTTGTGGATAGGACCAAGGCCCAATGGCTTGTGCGATGAGCCAAAACCTACGTCGTCAGCAACGGCGAGTTGTATAGATGAAGCCCATCTTGCGTCCTCCAACGATGCATCACCACCGAGGAAGGCCAAGCCCTACTTTGGGACTTGCATGCGGGAGCCTGCGTGTAACACCCCAGGTGTTTTTCACCAGTTAAGTAATGGGTTTGAGCTCAAACATGACAGATTAAGCGGTGATAACGGTATCAAGGTCTAACCTATGGAAACGAGCCCCAACCTAAACTTGGATATTGCACCTTTGCTCACCTATAGCCTCTTTTCAAGATATATGCTTGGGTGGGGTGATTGGGATACCTTCATGTGTCTCACATCAATACCCATCTATATTGATCCCTGGAAAAGTTTCATGAAGTTTGGAATCAAGAAGTCACATGAAATGACAAGTTATGTCCTTGCCTGAATTGTTTTATAAAGTGAATGGAATTCTAGATCATCAATCAAACCTTGATACTTTGCCCAAGTGACTCTAATTGTACTCTACAACGAAAGTCATGAAGGGTTCATGTTGAGCAGAAGTCAAGAAAATGCTTCAAACGGTCTAAAACTCTAATTTAAACTTTACCGTGATGCTACTTTGACTTGGTTTGAACTGTGGCTTATAGTGCTTGCATGGAGTTGCACCTTAAAGAAAAGTTGAAGTTTGAGTGAAGTAGAACAAACTTTGTTTTTGTACCAAGAGCCATATCAGCTTGTATGAAAGTCAAACCGAGGCTCAAACTTTGAATCTGCTGTTCTTTTCAGAGTCAAAATATTCTAAGTCTGAGTTAACTGAAACCTGAATTTTTTGTTTCGTGTACCCCACTTTAGATCCTTCTATCTCTCTAACCATGCCTAATTAGACTTTGAATCTTTAATAAAAGTTGGAGCTGGTATGTAGATCTACAACTTTTATTAATAGTGTTTTTGCTAAATCATCATAGTTTAGGAGTTACGGAGGCACGAAGTATGGATTTCAGTTGTATTTTTGGAGTAAAATTAGAAGTTTTGAATCGATTGTACAGACCCGACCCGATGCCCTTAACTGAACTCGGTGCGCTTTCATGTACTTGCCTTTGGAGCACTGCATGATTCCCAAACCAGGCCGAACCAAATCAACTTCATATAAGCAATATTGGATGTTGAGTTTACTCTTTATGTTGCGTGTGTGTGCGCGTGTGTCTATCTTCACATGTAGTAGTGAGGTGGCGTGGTGCTTCCTTCGTCGTGCGCGCGTGTGTGTGTGTGTGGGGGACTTGGTCACCCGGCAATGTCACCCACGTCGGCGTGGTCGTGGGATGGCGCAGCAGTAAAGCGCGGGCATGGGCGGTCTTGAGTAGTGCCAAGTCTTGCATGTAATCGGGGTTAATAAAAAGAAGAGAAAACGAAAAGCAGCAGAGTTCGTTATGCTACACCAATTCTCATCCCAATCGAGTTCATCGTTTCGTTCTTAGCGTTCATCGAATTTGGAGAGAGGGATAGTGAGCGTTCCAGCGAGTATTGATCCTGTGCAGTTTCCAACAACTGGTATCGGAGCAGGTTCCATCGCTGGGATCGTCACTGAGCCATTACCGCCACGTTCATGCCTCGCGACGCGTCAAAATCGCCACAGCGTCGGCGATCGTGGTCGCCCTTCGGCGGCCGCTCAGGAGGGAGCGGCGGGAGGGACCGTGCACTGGTGCTTCACCGCACGGTCAAAGAAATCGGCAACGTGGGGTGGCCAATGTTGACGAAGACAAACTACACCGACTGGGCGGCGTTAATGCGTGTCATGCTGCAAGGGCGGCAGCTCTGGGAGGCGATCAACGTCGGCGCCGTCGACTACACCGACGACCGCAATGCACTCGAGGCGTTGTGCAAGGCGGTTTCGGAGGAGTTGAGGGGCAGCATCGCCAACAAGCCCACGGCCAAGGCGGCGTGGGAATCGCTCAAGACCCGATACATCTGCGTCGACCGGGTGCGGAAGGCGAAGGCGAAGACACTGCGCCGCGAATTCAACGGCATCACCTTCAAGGAAGGGGAGTCCATCGACGACTTCACGAGCCGCATCACCAGGATCACCGACCAGCTCGCGATCCTGGGGGAGGAGCACGAAGAGGAGGAAATCATGTAAGTTCCTGGAGGCTCTCCCTGATCGATTTGAGCAGATTGCAGTGGCAATTGAGACGCTCCTCGATCTTGAGGACGTGTCTCTGGATGAGTTGGTTGGACGGCTCAAGGCGACGGAGGAGCGTCTGAACCGTTCGAAGGGAAGAGGAGGCGGCGGATCGGGCAGCGGCGGTGCCGGCAAGGAGATCGACGGCAAGCTGTACTTCACCGAGGAGCAGGTGATCGCCCGCCTCGCGTCGCGCCTCAACATCAACGCCGACAGGTTGGCGGCGCGCGACAAGACGTCGTCTGGCCTTCGCAAGCGTCGCGATGTGGACGGTCGTGGCAAGGAGCGCGGCAAGGATATGCGCTCGGGACCGCCGAAGGGCGGCGGTGGTGGCGAGGACGACAACGCCTACCACTACTGTGGTAAGGCCGGGCACTGGAAGTGGGAGTGCCGGAAGAAGAAGCGGGACGAGGAGAAGGCAGCTGCGGCGGCGGCTGCGTACCAGCCACAAGCGAACCTGGCTTAGGCGGAATGGGAGATGCCTGCTCTGCACATGGCCGTGGTGACACTGTCTGAAATGGTTAACCACGGTGGGCGGCGCACCGAGCACGTCTTCCTCAACGAGCACAAGGTTGTGGCGGAGCTGGACGGCGACGGCGAACGTGGGGAGATGCAATGGTATCTTGATACCGGCGCGTCAAACCACATGACCGGCGACGCGTCCGTCTTCTCCGAGTTGAACCCCGGCGTCCTCGGCTCCATGAGGTTTGGGGATGGCTCGCTCGTGGAGATCGCTGGGCGCGGCACGGTGCTGTTCGCATCCAAGAACGGCGGACACCGTGCTTTCCACGACGTCTACCACATTCCTCGACTCTAGAGCAGCATCCTCAGCATCGGGCAACTTGACGAGCATGGTTGCAAGATTGAGATCGAAGAAGGGGTCCTCCGTATATGGGACCGGGCATCTCGTGAGCTTCTCGCCAAGGTAAAGCGTACACCTAATCGCTTGTACATTCTGCCATTGAAGCCGACGCTGCTAGTGTGCCTGGCCGCCATGTACGGCGATGTGGAGTGGAAGTGGCATGCCCGGTTCGGGCATCTGGGCTTTCAGGCGCTGAAGAAGATGGGGCGTGAGGGCATGGTGCGAGGCCTGCCATAGATCGAGCACGTCGAGCACGTCTGTGACGCCTGCCTGGCCGGGAAGCAGCGTCGAGCGCCGTTCCCGCAGGAGGCGAACTACCGCGCCGCCAAGCCTTTGGAGCTGATCCACGGGGACCTATGCGGCCCCATCACACCTGCAACACCCGGCGGCAAGCGGTACCTCATGCTAGTCGTCGACGACATGTCGCGGTACATGTGGGCGGTTCTACTCGCCAACAAATCCGACGCCGAGGACGCGTTCCGCAAGCTGCGCGCCGGAGTCGAGGTGGAATCCAGGCGGAAGATCAAGGCGTTCCGCACCGATCGTGGGGGGGAGTTCACGTCGGTGAGCTTCCTCGAGTACTGCTCTGAGCACGGGATCAAGCGGCACCTCACCGCGCCGTATTCTCCCCAACAGAACGGCGTGGTGGAGCGCCGGAATCAGACCGTACTCGCCATGGCACGGAGCATGATGAAGGCCAAGGCGGTTCCGGCGTGGCTGTGGGGAGAGGCTGTGATGACGGCCGTCTTCCTGCTCAATCGTGCCCCGACAAGAAGCTTGGTGGGGCGCACGCCGTATGAGGCCTGGTACGGCCAAAAGCCGGCTATCCACTTCCTGTGTGTCTTCGGTTGTGTGACGCATGTGAAGGTCACCAAGCCGAATGCGGGGAAGCTCGACGACCGGAGTGTGAGGATGGTGATGATCGGCTACGAGCCTAGGTCGAAGGCATATCGGGTGTTCAACCCCGTCGGCAACCGGGTGCATGTCACACGTGATGCCGTGTTTGAGGAGGACGCGGCCTGGGACTAGAGCGCAGCCGACAATAGTGGTGGCACGGAGGGTGTCACCTACAGTGCTGGCCAGGACACGCTCGTGGTGGAGGATGACTGGGCCGAAGGGGAGACTGGAGGGCATGCTAGCGCCTTCCCAGACGACCAGGCTCCAATGTCGCCCTTGACGGTAGGGGCGACTGAAGGCGCGACGCACACGCCACTGCCTGGGGACACGCACTCGGCGCATCAATCGGCATCTTCGTCATCATCGAGCTCTGCGGCTTCATCACCAGCTGCATCGTCACCGCACACACCGTGAGTACAAGGTGGGACCGTTCCGTGGCAAGGTGAGCTGCCGAAAAGGGGTACTATGCCGGTGCAGTTCGTGCCTCCTACGACAGGTGCACTGGAGGCGTTGGACGCGGATGATGATGAAGAGGCCGCGCACCGATTCAGAGTCGTCGACAACCTCCTGTATGACGACGATGACTTGGTGGTGGACGGCGATCTTCTCCTCACCACGGATGCGGATCCATCCACGTTTGATGAGGCGGCAGGACATGAGGAGTGGAAGCGGGCCATGTCGGAGGAGCTCAAGTCCATCAACGACAACAAGACTTGGATGCTCACCGACGTGCCTCCAGGAGTGAAACCCATCGGCCTCAAATGGGTGTTTAAGATCAAGCGCGACGCTGACGGCAACATCACCAGGCACAAGGCGCGTCTGGTGGCAAAGGGCTATGTGCAGCGCGCCGGCGTCGACTTTGACGAGGTGTTTGCGCCGGTGGCGCGCATGGAATCCATGCGGTTCCTCCTCACCATCGCAGCGCATTACGGGTGGATGGTGCACCACCTCGATGTAAAGTCAGCATTTCTCAATGGAGACTGGTGGGAGGAGGTGTACGTCGAGCAACCGCCGGGTCATGCAATCCGAGGGAAGGAGCGCAAGGTGTACAGTGCTCCACAAGGCAATCAGACGGGCTTCTTGGCAAGCGCCCGTGGCTTGAATGCGAAGTTGGACAGCTCACTGCGGTCTCTTGGGTTCGAGATCACGATGAAGCTGAGCACGCGGTGTGTACGTCTGGGGGCTCGGGCGAAAACCTGCTGCTCGTCGGAGTGTATGTCGATGACCTCGTCGTGGTTGGAGCGGATCCATGGAGGTCGATCGCTTCAAGAAGGAGATGGCCCGGCTCTTGACGCATGAGCGATCTCGGATCGCTGCACTACTACCTCGGCATCGAGGTTCGCTGAGCGCCAAAGGCATCATGCTGTGCCAAGGTGCCTATCACGGACAAGATCATCGAGAAGGCTGGGCTCACGGGTGCAATCCTTGCAAAGACTCCGATGGAGCCATGACTCAAGCCGAGCAAGACGAGCTCGAACCCTCCGGTGGACAAGACCTCGTACCGCAGCGTCGAGGTACTTGGTCCATACACGCCCCGATATAGCATTCGTAGTTGGTTATGTAAGTCGCTTCATGGAGGCACCCACTACCGAAACACTTTGGAGTCTTTGTTAAGCACCTGGCGAGGTACATTGCCGGACGAGGTCCAACGGCCGTGTGTTCTTGGCGGGGGAGGAGCTCTGGAACTGATCGGTTTTAGTGATGCTGATCACGCCGGGATGCGACGACCGGAAAAGCACTTCCGGGTGTTCTTCTTCTTCCTCGCCGTAACCCGGTTAGCTAGCAATCGTAGAAGCAACGCGTGGTGGCGCTTTCGTCGTGCGGCGGAGTACATCGCCGGCGCTACATGGGCGTGTCGTGGAGTGTGGCTGTCGCGCTCGCTTCGCTGATTTGGTGAACGCCAAGGTCATCACGCCACCGCTTACATCGACAACAAGTCAAGATTGGCGCCGGCTAAGAATCCGGTGCTCCATGAGAGGAGCAAACACATTGACGTCCGGTTCCACTTCATCCGTGGATCGCATCAGCTCGCATCATCAAAATGGACTACATCAGATCGGTGACCAGTGGCGGACCTGCTCACCAAGCCACTACCGCGCGAACGTCTTACGGGCTGCGTGGTCGGAGTGGCGTCGTCAAGATCAGTCCGGCGCAATGTAAATTAGGGGGAGTGTGTTGAGTTTACTCTTTACATTGCGTGTGTGTGTGCGCGTGTGTCTATCTTCACATGTAGTGAGGTGAGCGCGGCGCTTCCTTCGCGTCGTGCGCATGTGTGTGTGTGGGAGGGACTTGGTCACCCGGCAATGTCGCCCACGCCACGTGGGTGTGGGATGGCGCAGCGAAAGCGTGGGGCATGGGCGATCTTGAGTAGTGCCAAGTCTTGCATGTAATCGGGGTTAATAAAAAGAAGAAGAAAAACGAAAAGCAGCAGATTCGTTCATTGCGCTGCACCAATTCTCTGTCCACTGAGTTCATCGTTTCGTTCTTAGCGTTCATCGAATTTGGAGAGAGGGATAGTGAGCGTTCCAGCGAGTATTGATCCTATGCAGTTTCCAACATTGGAGTACTCCCGTAGCTCTACAGAATGGTATAATTGATTCAACAAATCGTCGATCGGTTTATGTGATATGATGAGAGGAAGAATTGAGTTTCAGTTGAAGGTTTGAGGTGGTATTGATTTTGAAAAGGCAGGAATGACAGCTATGGCCGACCGGCCACAGTGTTTTGATGCCGCGTGGCCTGTGCGTGGCAACCATCCATGAGCTCGCCCCCACCATGGCCGACGCGCGTCCTTATGCCCTGCCTAAGTCGCGTCGCTGCCACACGCTGTCCCGGCTAGAGCTCCACTCCGTGCTTGCTTCCTCTCGCTCCTCCTCGCTCCACTCCGCACCAGAGCCGCGTCTGCCATGGCCGACAAGCAGAGCTCCTTTGCCGCTGCCATTCCTCCTCCGTCGAACACCCTTGTAGCTCCTATTTGCCTCCACCTTAGCCACTCCCTGCTCCACTGCCCTCTCACGCCCTCATCCTCCACCTTGGCTCGCCGCCGCTGCTCCTCTCTACCGGCGCCACGGTCGCACGTGGCTGGACCTTCCTAGGCCAATACCGCCCAAGCCAAAGCCCTATGCGAAAAGCGCGTGCGGGGCAGTGTCTTGCAGCCATGGTCTTGCTGCTCACCACCGCCCGTCCTTCTTACCCGAAACCGCGAGCTCCGGCCATCTCCTCTGCTCTGCTCGAGTTGAGGAAGAAGAAGGACCACGCTCATCGATCTGACATTCTTCAGGGGGTTAAGTGATTAAGCAGTGACTCTGGTGAATAGTGTTGAGAAGGGTCAATCGCTGAACTTTTATTTCAGTTTTTCGCAGGGACCCCGATGCAAGACTTACATGTCTTTTCTTTTGTTTTTACAGATTTGAATGATGAACTTTGAAAATTCATAGTCATTAGTATAAAAATCGTAAAATAGTAAATGAGGACTTTTTGGAATCCTTGTGAAATTGTATATGCATTAGATCTATAATATGACATGTTTTAGTTTAAATATTTTGCTGTACAAATAGATCTATGCAGTTAGGTTCTTAATACTAGTTATGTCTTATCTTTTTCATAACTGCAGTTATTTTACTCAAATAAATGTGAAATTTTTATGGAGTGTTACTGATGTGATTAGTGATGTCTGGTAAAAATTTCAGTAGTTTAGTCTTGATGGT